ATATATATATATATAACAAGTGTTCCATTAGCTACGAAAATGACTTAAATGAAGATATTTTTTGTAACAACTTAATATTGTCTCGAATTTCGAAAGTGCCGCAAGAACTTCCCCTTTTAAATTATTTACTTTAGCTACCGTCGTCACATTCCCTAAAATGCATCCCACCCCCTAAAACTCATGTCGATTGGAAGAAACTTAAAACTAGTTTTCCCTGTCATAAAGATTATCGAAATTCTTCCTCTGCTTTATCAGAAAGCGGTATCTAGATTTTATGTAAGGAAAAAAAAACCCACTTTGGTTACACCTATCAGAGCTGTCAAAATGTTGTTCATATTTGAAAAACGAGCTATGTCAAAACATTTCAGCATTCGTTTTTTTAAAATCAATGTTCTTAATGTCTTAACCGATCACTTATTAAGGTGATAACAGAAGATAAATAGGACTTTTTTAAAAATAAAAATTGCTGCTAAATTAACGAATAAGTAATCTAAAAATCTAGAAATTTAGTTTAGTTCTTGTAACATTACTTTTGGATTCTCTAAAAAAATGAATACTCTTAACTTCGTTCAATTATTATGTTGAAAATGCAAGGTAATTAATATTTTTAGTTGACAAGTTAATGGACAAGGTGCCCACTACGAAGGGTAAACAGCGAAACTAAGCAGCTCGAAGTGCAAAAACGACGTACAGTGCCAGAGAGCACCATCCTGACTAGCTGCAGCGAATTGTTCATATCCACAGCGGGAACACTTGAAGCCACCGGTTCCACAGTCCAAAAGATGAAACACGCAACCACTGGACCGCTCGCGATTGCCTAGGCACCATTTCGCATAGGCCCGACCAGAACGCTGCACATTGAACTATCCTATATTAACACTAGATTGTCTAAGGAAGTCATTTTGACAGCTTTTAATTTCAATTAGAAAAAAAAATGATGTATATGATGACACAATTTCTTAAAATTTTTTCAACATATAATTTTTTATTGTTAATATTTACTAATAACTTGTTATATAACTGTAAATAATATAAAAAAACATTAAAAATTAATTTTAAACAAATTTCTTTACACATTATTTATACTTTTACAATCCAGTCATTTTGACTGCTTTTGGACAATATAGGTATATAGTAAGTTTCAGCCGTTCTAGTGTAAAAACCATTACAATACGAACCAGATAAACATATTCAATTCAATCAATACAGAAAATTAAAATGCTATCAAGCGTTAAAACACAATAAAGAAAATAAACTCTCAAAAGTTAACAAGAATCCCAGTTAAAAATCCGGCTAACAAAACATAGTTTTTTAGCATTAGGTTTAGTTAAAACATTATATGTTTTAAAAACATTAAAAGAGGTAAGTGCCTTAAAAGTATTACAAGGAATTATAGTTAAAGCATCCCATTATCAACATAATCTTGAGCCGTAAGGAATTTGACAATTTTAATTAGTCCCAGTTGGAGTAGAGATTATTCTCTTATTCTCAATTTAAATTCTAAGGTAACATTCTTTGGGTAGTATATCCTTTTGATTTCATTATAAATCTGACTACAGTACATGTACAGTAGTTTCCGGCTCCTTGCAGCTCGGACCGAGTTCGATTTTGGTGAATAGTCTATTCTGGTGAAAGTTTATAATTCAGTGAGAGGCGATAATATGGTTCAAATAGAAGTTAGTACTATTTCCAGATTCGAAAGACATCCAGGAAGAAATACTTCATATGTTCACCATTGATTGCAGTCCTCCAAATCTTGACAGCTCTATTTATCTTAATATTGAATTTGTATTACTTTTAGCTTGGATCCATGTTCTTCTAGATTTTTAACATTGCTGTTGCCTCCATCAGCTTTTTCTTATGCCTACATAGCTTTTTGTCCAATGCAATCATGTGTCAGATCTCTTAATATGACTAATGATCTCGTCCTGGAATTTTGGGTTCTCTAGGGTGGTCACAGTACTTCTAGATCAAGGATTTCCAACTTAAATGAGGCCGGGGACCGCAATTAAAAACACAAATCAAATGGCGGGCCGCAACTTTATCAAAATTTTATATAGGACTCTTTTATGTTTGAAGGAACATTAAATATTACTGTCAGATTTTTATCAAGTTGTACAAAGCAAAAGTATTGAATTACAAATTAAAATAAGAAGTAGATTTTTAAAAATATTTAATTGCATATTAAAAAATTCGATCTACAATAACTTTAATGTGCACCCATGTATTAAACAATTGATGTGCAACTGATATCTGATTGTTAAGATATAAAACTTTAAGAAGGTTAGTATTAAAACTTACATAGTAGCACACAAAATGTTCAATGACAAAATTGAGGTTTGTCAGCTGCAACCACCAAAGAATAGATATTTACATTTTAAATTTACAAATGTGTGTGCAGATATTTTTGTCCAAAATGAGTGGTTTCAAAGAGTTAAATCGGAGAATTTCTTCGAGAAAATTTCTGATACACACATACTAAATTATATTCTCAAAATACAAAAAAAATGAAATAAAAAAGAGCAACATAGACGATTATTTTTGTATTTGAATAAATATTTTCTTGGATGCAAAACCTGAGAAATAACTTTTTTTGCACCGTTGGTATGATAAATTTCACAGAAACAAAGAAATAAGGTTTTTATTAACGGGAAAAATATTTTAAACCCATATAGATTTTTCACGAAAATTGCCCCCCAAAAAAATGACAACTAATATATTTTAGTTCGCGGGCCACAAAAAGAAGGCTTCGGGCCGGATGCGGCCCCCGGGCCGCCAGTTGGAAACCACTGTTCTAGATTCCCTGAAGATAATGATTGTCATTGATCCATTTTATGGCTATTTCGATAGCACTGCTTGGAAGATGGTGGAGTTATCGTCTGTTGAATTCATGATTTCGAAGCTAGGAAGGCGCTAATTTCTCTATCACCCTCAGCAATTCAGATTTGAGTTTTTCTTCCTTTTCATATCTAATTTTTATCTGATCTTTTCCACTAATGGATGTTCCACCTTTTTTTCTCAATGAGTCAACACCGAAAGACACAGCTTGCTCTGGAGAACTTTTTCTCATTAAAATGATGTAGCAAGTTTTCAAACTCACTCAGCTGTTTATATGTGCATTCTGCAAGGGCTGTACTGGATTCTTGAAGAAAAAGCGTGTTTTTTAAAAAATAATAATACTTCTAAATTAGCAATTACTTCAGTTAGCTTTGTAGGGACGATGTATGAATATTTATTTTAATCATATATAGGGGAAAATAGAACTATCTTTTGCGAATAATCCATCACCAGTGCATATTTACTAACTTGTACGACTGTGGAAAAAAATATTTCAAACAAGTAATATATAATAATACTTGAAGAAAAACTTTCTGAGACATATGGTATTTTATTGACACTTATAATCTCGTATGACTTATGGTTTTATGGTATCATTTGGCACTTATGACATTAATTAAGTTCATAGTTGCCTAATTAATATTTAATCTTATATACACAAGTTTAAAGTATTGATTTGTCATGTTAAATAAAAAAAAATTAATATTTCATTTATAAAAGTAAGATTAAGATTTACACGATAAAAGATAAATGTTACTACCATTTAAAGAAATTCCCTAATGTTGGACAACTGAGCTTGCGCAACCTCTTTTTTTTTCTTGAAATTTATTATGTCATTATTATATATCCTCAATCAATATTCCTAGCTAAATGTTAATCACTTCCTTTACAAAGAATTCTAATGTAGGTGTAATGCTCAAAATTTTATTTGTACATTTTTTGATTATACCATTATTTATTCAAATTCTTTATATTTTTAGTATTGGATACAAGTAATGTAAGCGTTAAGAAACAAGTTTTTGAATTGCTTTCTGCACTTTGCGTTTACAATGTAGATGGCTATCAGAGAGCTCTGGAAGCCTTGGAACATTATAAAGTGAGTCTATCTTATAAATATTTTTTTTAATCAAGTGCTTTTTAGAAATATAGTAATATTTTTACACCTATTTATTTGCTATTAGTATAGCTCGTATTCTTTTATTATTGTTATACAATGATATATACACTGAGTGGCCAAATTATTATGACCACCTTAGAGTTTTATGCAAATGAGTTATTACGTCACAGCGCTGCTGCTAGAGGGCAAGATAACTATAACACGGGAATGCTGGACAAGTGAGTCATCAGTTATACTGTGTTGCTTGCTGAGATATGGGAAAGAAAAGTGATTTAACTGAATTTCAACGTCGAATAATTGTGGGTGCGAGATGTGTCGGAACGAGTATCAGCAAAACGGCTGCACTTGTAAAGTGTTCTAGAGCAGCAGTTGTTAATGTGTACAAAGAATGGACAATCAAGCAAAAAACCGGGTCTCAACGTCAGACTTGTGGTCGTCACAGGGTACTGAATTCTCGATCAGAGAGAAGGCTGGCCAGGGTTGTGCAGCGCAACAGGAGAGCAACAGTGCGACAAATTGCAAGTGATCTTAATCAAGAAGCAACTGTGAACGTCTCTGAACGGACTGTTCGACGCACATTGCGCCGTATAGGGTATGGAAGCAGACGACCTGTTCGTAAGCCTCTACTGTCTGCTTTAAATAAGCGCAGACGTCTCCAATTAGCAAAGGAGCACAAACATTGGACAGTAGATGACTGGAAGAGGGTCATGTGGTCCGCTGAATCACGATTTCAAATGCATCGCTCAGATGGCAGGATGAGAATATGGAGAAAACAGCACGAAAGCATGGACCCCAACTGCATTGCTACCTCACTTCAAGCTGGTGGTGGCAACGTTATGGTATGGGGAATGTTCTCTTGGTATTGTATGGATCCTTTAATTCCTGTACCACAACGCCTTAATGCCCAAGGGTATTTATGTATCATCGCAGATCAAGTACATCCGTTCATGTCATTGGTGTACTCTGGCGGGGATGGATTCTTCTAGCAGGACAACTCTCCTTGTCATAAAGCTGGCATTGTCCTCAGGTGGTTCGAAGAGCATGACGAGGAATTTAACTTGCTTCGTTGACCAGCACAATACCCAGATCTCAATCCAATTGAGAATTTAAGGGATGAAATTGAACGGGCGCTAAGACAGATAGATCCAGTACCATCAAATTTGCAGGAAACAAATTTGCAAATTGCATGAAAAGAAGGGAAAAAATTGTCTTCAGGCTAGATCAAACTAAAGTTTGAATATTTTGCAGACTTCGCTGCTGCATTATAAGTGGGCTTGATTACGATTGATATATACATTAAACTGTTTGGAAATTACCAAATTACCAAATGCAGGATAACTACAACCTGAAAAAATTTAACCCTTTCATTGCGGCAATCTGTTCCGTTGAAGGGACGTCACTGAACTGTGCATTGCTCCCCGAATTGTGCACATTGCATATCGGTTAGTAGATGTTCAGATTTTCTTATTGAAGTGTCACATAAAAATAATATATTTGGAGATCTTATAAGCACAATAAAAAATATGCAATCGACTTGCATAGCATATTAAGAGCATTCAAAATATGCTCTTAGTAGTATTAATAGTAGTCAAAGAGAATCACTCTGATGCTGGCTAAATACAGTGCTCGCACATACAAGTCATCACGTGGATACGAGCTAAATATAGCACTCGTTACCATAGGGTTAAGAGTAGTAACGAATTTTTCTCAGGACTGCTTAAAATTTCATAAACTTAATTTCCGATTATTTTTATTAAATCAATTTTGAAGTTTTCACATCATGATAAGCGAAATAAAAATATTTTTCAAAATTTATCTTCCTATTTAAGACAATTACCTGGCCGTTCTTGGCGAGTGCCTTCTCAGGTCTATGGAGGAAAAAAATATGTATAATGTATAATCACTTAAACATGTCATACTAGTCGAAATATTTTGCTTTTATCAGATAATGAGGGAAAATATTGAAAACATTTTTTTAATAGGACGCCTTGAAACATATTTTTTCCAAAAATAATAATTTGGTATTACTTGATCTGTTTTATTGACACAAGCTGTAGAAAAGAATTTTGGCAATAAACGTGTTAAAGCGTGTTGTGCACACAAGTCTTTCATATACGGTTGAAATATATAAATCTGAACATAAATACATATAGCAAATAGTAACGAATGAATAAGGGAAATACATTTGTAGCTATTACATACTTAAAATAAAATTTAACTTTACTGATTCACCTTTTTTTGCCCCCAAATTCATTCATAAACAGTGGAGCATTTGAATTGAAAGTTGGTGTGAGTATTTACACTATTTACTAGTGTGTGGAGGTGAGGATTAATAGGTTAGGATTGTAGGTTAATCTGACCATCAGAAAGCAAGATGCTTGATTCGCATTGCTGATCTAAATCTCTCGATTCACATTACTGATTTGAATAGTTTGATTCGAATCACTGGTCCAAATCACTTATATGAATCATTTGATTTGAATGGTTATTCGAGTTACTTGATTCGAATCACTGATTCGGACCATTGATATAAGTTGTGATTTGAATCATTCAATCGAATCACTTGATTTGAATAATTGATTCACGACACTTGATGCGAATAGTAATTTTAATCACTTAATTCGAATAGTGATTTGAATCGTTGATCCGAATCCCTTAAATCGAATAGAGGGATTCAATTTAATCTTCCTAACAAATAATTTGGATTAGCGTTCGAATCAAGTACTTTGGGTCACTTACGTGAATCAAGTGATTCGGATCACTGTTTTAAATTATGTCATTTCGGTCAATGATCCAAATCAAATGATTCAGATCATTGTTTCGAATGAAGTGCTTTGGATAAAATATTTGAATCACATGATATACTTCGGTGGATTAAAATTATAAGATTCGGATCAGTGATTCAGTATGTAAGGTTTGGATCAGTGATTTGAATCAGTAATTTGAAACAAGTGATTCCAACCAGTGATTTGAATAATATTGCTCAAATTACTTTTCGAATCAAGTAATACGTCGACCTGATTCAAATCTGATTATTCAGATCTCTGATTTAAGATCCGTGTATCTTAAATCGGAGTATTTAAGTTTTAAGATCCGTGATTCTAAACTTGAGATTCGAATCAGTGTATCGACTTAAATGAAACGAAACAATTGATTCGAATCAAGTTATTAGAATAAGTTAATTCGAATTAAGTTATTCTAGTCAAGAGATTCGAATTAGTTACTTGAATCATGTGATTTGAATCAATTGATTCGAATTAAGCTGTTAGAATAAGGTAATTCGAATTAACTTATTCTATTCAAGGGATTCAAATTAAGTTGCTTGAATCATGTGAGGAATCAAGTTATTACTGTTCAAATCCAGTGATTAGAATCACGAAATTGGAATTAGTGATATGATTCAAGTAATTCAAATCTCAGTCGTATCAAAATATCAATGGTTTAAATCAAAAATGGTTTAAATCTGTGATTTGAGTCAAGAGATTCGGATATCTAATTCGAATTAAATGATTCAAATATCTATATGAATCAAGTTATTCAATTCAAGTGATTCGGATAAGCATTTAGATCAGTTTCGGGAATCAAAGGATTCGGCTGAGGGATTTAGCTCACCACTTTCATCGGTGATTCATATCAGTTGTTCCGATTAGCTGTTCGCAAGTGATTCAGGGTTCTCATTCGAAGTAAGTGATTCGGATTAGTGATTTAGTCATGTGATTTGAATCATGTTTCGGACCAGTAATTTGAACGAGTGATTAAAATAATGTGATTTGGATCAATGATTTAAATAAAGTGATTCGAATCAGTACAAATTACTGCAATTTTTTTTATCAAAATTTTTGTTTTAATGCTTTTTATATGTTCGTAACCTATTTTTTGGAAGGGGTTATTCTTTTACATTTTACGAAATATTTATCTGTTTCGATGGGCCTTATTAAACAACCCTAAACGATTATTTTCTGGGGTAGGCTTTTTAAAGAGAAGCATTGCTCTACTCTGTAGTTTTTACCCAATTCAGAAGACAAGAGAACTTGTATATCCACCATTAAGATAAACTAGTCTTTGTGGAGTACTTTCTAAAGGAAATAACCCACACTTGCTTTACACGGAGAGAGAAACCACGAAAGCTAGTCACAAACTGTCCGTGTACAAGAGATTTCTAACTTAGGTCATGATGCGCCCATGATTGATGATATTTCACGTCAGCTTAGAAGTCGGTGTGAGTCAGGAGTAAAATTCGCGTCGAGATCCATGGCCGGGATTCGAATCTGGATCACCTTATAGGGAGGCAAGCGCTTTGACCCGAGCCAACGCGACTTTCTAATCTATTATTGACGACAGGGATTTTTACTCAATAATGGTTACAGGTAAGTAACACACTAAGGCAATAGGTTTTTTCTTATGACACACCGGCAGAAAATAGTACCAAAATGAAGGCTTAGGTTTCAAAGGACATATATGTTTCATATTTTTAGAAATTTATTTAAAAAATTTTTTCACCATTCATACAAATTAAGACTTAAATATGTTAGGATTTAATAAGCGAACTCGGATTGCGAAGCTATTTGACAGGATCAGCGGAAGCATTTTCGGGGGTCGACGAGCGCAGCAAGAAGGGTTTAATCTTAATTTTTGTATTTATCAAGCTAATCTTAATTTTTTTGCCGTGTCAAAAGTAGAATAATTTTGAATCAACTTTTCATTTTAAACGCAAATGCGAGGAATAATTATAATAAGTATGCGTTTTTATGAAAGTCGATTTTTATGAAGTAATCAGTTAATGATTCGAATCACCTCAGTGAATTGATTCTATTGATTCGCTTTCCCCAACTTTAGCGCTGTGCATCAAGTACAATAATTGCGCATCAAAATTCAGTAAAAATAGGCGATGCTAGTCGATCTGGTGATATAGTATGTCAAAAAAGGAAAAAAAAATAATGGATATACTATCTGGGGGACGTGGAATTTATGGATATATTTTTTTGTTTTTTATTACTTCAATATGAAATAACTATAGCCCAAGAATGTTACAGTTGGGTTTTAGATCCAAATATAAATTTTGAAGTTATAAATATTTGATGCTGCTGGTTTCTTAGATAAATACTAATGATCAAATAATTTTCATAAAACTTTTAAAATTTTTTATCTAATTTATTTCGATTAAAAGGAGCTTTGTAGAAAATAAATCAATTATCCTTGCCATGCTCGTCTTCGACCTATGAATGCTAAGGCAAAAAATGTGGTAAATAAACGAAAAAAGCGTCTTCAAGAGATTTTACTTTCTGTTACGACGATATAAAAAGAAAGTTTCATATCAAAATAAAAATAGTATATATTGGAAATATATTAAGATACTATAGTGTTAATGCAAAATAACAAATTTTTTGCTTACCTAATCTTTGCCACTGGTACTTATCTTTTTGAATTGATCTGAATAGTACAAAAAGTGGTAAAAAAAAACTTGTGCACCCTAATTAATTGGTTAATTTACAGTGTTAGTTACCACTTTATTTTTAAAAAATTTGAACTCATATTACTTCAGAGTGCAAATATATATATATACATGTACATACAGAGATGCCAACTGCTCCGGACACGTCAAAATATTTTTAAAAAAAAACGGTAAGTAACTACAAACAGAATTTTGGAAATATTTGACTATCTTTACTTGCATTTTAAAAGGTATAGCATGGCATTACTTCTATAAAGCGGGGAATTATATAAGCCTACGAATTATTTAGAAATAGTGGTGGATAAAAATCTACTAAATTGAATTTATTAAACCAAGAATCACAATTGATAAACTATCACTTTAAAATACATATTTGCTGTCCGGAGCAAGTTGGCATCTCTGTATATGTAGATAGAAATTTATCTTGTTAACACGTTGAATGCCACGCTAATTTTACATGGCTTCGTCAGGCCAAACGGTAAATAACTACAAATTAAATTTGCAAGCATTAGAGATTATCTGTTCGCTCGTTCGTTGTTGTAGAACTGGACACCGGAGGCCTAAATGGCCCTTTGCATGATATATCTGAAATAAGTGCAGAGATGCCAACTGCTCCGGACACGCCAAAATAATTAAAAGAACGGTAAATAACTTCAAAGTAAATTTTTGAAATATTTGACTATTTTTGTTTTTTTCCTAAGAGGTATAGCCTGACATTAGTACTCATACTCATACTCATATGTGTTGGTTATCTTAGCATCAGCCCCGCTAGGGGCTCCAACTAATTCATCTGAGTGGAAATAAATAATAAATCGCCGAAGCGCAACTGAAAGGTGAAAGTTAGGGTTCAGTATCTTTTACTGAGAGAAAATTAAAATGAAGTAGTGAGATTGAACAAACAAGTTTGAGAGAGAGAGAAGAGGTTTTGTGGCAGACTGCCTCGCCTCCCTTCGAGGTATTACCCCGAGCTTCACAGGTGCACAGTAGCCACATAGCCCCAGGGAAAAGGGGAAATACATAATAAATGCGCAAAATTATTTACAAGTATTTACAGCTATTTACAAAATTTACGGGACAAAACTCCGTCGGATAGGAAAAAGGCGGTTGCCGGGCTATATTTTATGTTGTCTTTGATGAGCTCAAAATCAAAATTTTTAAAGTAATTGCACGTATGACAAGAGAGTGCATCTCTGAAGAAACTTGCACATAGTTCAGCTATGTGCTCATCTATTTTGTTGATTTTTAACTCTCGTCTTAGATCTTTCATTCTCATGGATCTGGGGGCTCCTGTGATATATCTGAGGAATTTATTTTGAGTGATCTCCAGTTTCTTTTTTTGACTAACAGTGGTTGTGCTCCATGCAGGGGCTGCGTAGCTGATGATCGGTCGAATACATTGGAGGTATAGGGTTCGTTTTGCTTTGAGAGATAGTTTTGAATT